TTTATCTCTCCGTTTATCCTTTCAACGGAAATTCCCAATGGAGTCCAAACCACAAACAGACAGTATGGCTTTTTAGCTACGTGCAATTGGCCATTTACCTGGTAGTCATGTCCTCTTTTGAGCACCAGGCTTCCGTCCTCCGTTATTGTACAGAATTTAATTACTTTACTTCTGACCGCATCTTCTGAGGACCCCGTTCCATAAAAATACTAGTGTATTTACAAGTCTACTTTTCAAAAACTTACTAGTGTATAATACTGTAGAGACTAGTATTACTAGTGGTTTTTACTAGTGTAGACAGCTAGTGTGTTTCAAGTTTTACTCTTGTGAATTACAGTGGTAAATACTTGCCATTTTCTACCAACCTCTCTACACCCGTATTATTTGTAGTAGACTAAATAGAAAATTACGAAACGGGTTTCTACCCGAATATTCTTATTATGCATGAATATTTGAAAACGTAGTAGGGTAGGCTACTTGAAAATGTTCCAAAGAAAATGTCCTTACGATTTAATTACATTCAAAATTTGAGCTTTCTTTTCTTTGCTCATGGTAAGATTAATTTTACCAGAATAAAACAAAGAATAAAAATCACATCGGATGCGGCAGAAACAGATCAAGGCCGTAGCCAGGTTGGGGGGGGCGGGGTTAGGGGTAAAAACCACCCCGAAATTCCGAAATTTAGTAGTAAAAATTAACACTATGTTTAAAAAGTGCAAGTTAAATTAGAAAATAGAAACCACAACAGTGAATTATATTTTATGTTTTATTATGTTTTGCGGTAACTATTAATATTTCATATAATAATTCTATTAATAAATCTAGTCTATTAAAAGGGTAATAAAACTATGCAGGTTCAACGAAAATAATTTACTTACTCAAACAAAACAGATTTATCGTCCTGTAATATTTTACGTATGTAACTATATCAACATTTTAGAAGTAAGTTATGCATGGGAATTGGTGTTTGAATGTAAGGGCTTAGATCTGTTATCCACAGTCACCTGACCCAGTGGTGGTTCCAAGGGGAGGGGGGCTACAGGGGCTAAAGAAAGTACACAACCACTAACGAGTTGTGTAAAGTGTGTCTGAAAATCTGTGTCTGTGCTCCAAACTGAGACATGCCACGCAGTTAGTTGCAGAGAGCACATCTGATTATTTTTGTCAACATGGATGAAAGTACTACTCTGAGTCTGACAAGGAAATTGAGGAATTGGTTAGTCTATATTGTGTTTCGTGCATCCACCCAAGCCGTGTCGCATGCGTCGCAAACTGTGACATGCCGGCCCACGCAAAAGTCAAAGTCAAAGTCAAAACATTCTTTATTCATTATAGTTTCACATTACATGAACTTGAATAGAGTCATAAGCTAAATTCAAAATTGCTTACTGCTAATTAAATACATAAAAAGAGTACTAAAATTACTTTAAAAATTACAGTATTTGGAAATCAAATTAAGTTAGACCTAACTGTTTTTTACTAATACTAAAGAATTCTGTTACTGATTAGCAGGGAGTTCTTAAAAATTATTCCTTTAAGAGCTGCTTTAATTTATTAAATTTTGTTTCTTTTCGGATGTGAGCGGGTATAGACTGGAGAAATTTTAGCCCTATGTAAGATGTCTTTTTAGTGTAAAATTCAAGATTATGCCGAGGTAGGTTAATTTTTAATCTGGTGTTATATACTAATTGTTCTGTTGAGCTGGATGATAGTTGGATCTGTTTTGCATAAATTATTGTTTCATAAATATAAAGACTATAAACTGTTAATATTTGTAATTCACGAAAGATGCTCTTGACTGGCTCTTTCCTTTTAAGATTTTTCATCACCCTGATAGCTTTTTTCTGCTTAATTAGTACTTAATCTAAATTAGTTTTTGTTGCCTCGTATAGAACAATTCCATATGAAATATGTGAATGTATTAATGAGAAATAAACAACTCTTAGAGTGTCTAAACTGCATACTCTGAACATCTGTCGCAGAGCATGGATACCGGAAGATACCTTTTTAACCACATAATTCACATGGCCCTCCCAAGATAGATGTTTATCGATAATTAGACCAAGAAATTTTGTTTGCTTTACTTGGTTTATTCTTTCTGATTTTATGCAAATGTTTGGTTCAAAATTTTGTCTAGGTTTAGTGGAAAATGATATAAAATTGGATTTTTCTGTGTTAATAAGCAGATTTTTTCGGTCAAGGAATTCTTTAGTGGATAAAAGACTCTCCTGAGAAAACGTTTCAATCTGTTGTGTTGATCTTCTTGGAATCAGCACATTACAATCATCAGCAAACAGACACATAGACCCGCCGTTTCCAGGAATCGCTCCTGGCATACCTCTAATATAGCAGAGAAAAAGTAGAGGCCCCAGGATCGATCCCTGCGGCACCCCATAATTCAGTGTCTGATGCTGAGATTACATTTTTCAACGTACTTTGTGCTTGCAATCTCCACAACATAATCCAATTCAACAATTGTTTTCTATTCTTAGATATGATGTAAACCATGCAAGCTCTTTTCCATAGATTCCTATTTCTTTTAGTGAAGTCAACAATATACTATATGACACGCTGTCAAATGCCGTACTAAGATCCAAAAAGATTCCTACAACATTTTCTCCTCTGTCAACAGCATTTATTATAGATTCTATGAATTCAATACCAGCTGTTATTGTTGATTTGCCCTGCCGAAAGCCATGTTGTTCTTTATCAAATAGTTGATTATTTTCCAGATATTTATAGACCTGAATGTAAACAATGCGTTCAAATTTTTTTGAAAAAACAGGTAAGAGAGAGATAGGGCGGTAACAGTAGGGATCAGTTTTATTACCTTTTTTAAAAATGGGAATTACTTTAGCCAATTTTAATTTTAAAGGAAAGATTCCTGAAATAAGAGAAGAGCTTATGATATGTGTTAGTGGTTTCTGGATAATGTGTATTGATTTTTTAACTATGGTGATTGAAATTTCATCAAAACCTGCAGAGTACTTGTTTTCAAAGGAAAGAACCACTTTAGTGAGGTGTTCTTCAAGTGCCAGACACATACACGCGTGTGTCTCAGCACGGGACGCCGCGCCTTAAGATATCATATGATGGTACAGTTTTCTGCCTTGTGCTGTGTTGCATGCGTTGCGCCACGTGCGTGTCAGCATACGGCCAGCCTAATCCCCGTTTTGCCCAAACCTTGTTTCGAGCAGTTTCGAGGCATTTTCAAAACAAAACACAAAAATAACAATTTAACTGGTATTAATTTTCGGTAATTCACTTTAGATACAAACATCTAGTGTAGTTTTGGACACTGACAGCCAGCACCACGTGCACGGTAGATAAGGAGGTAGGGGAAGGTGGGGAAGAGACCGGTGTGAGGGAAGGAGGAGAAGGGCGTTGTTTCCAGTCGTCGCCGCTAGTCTCGCCACGTTACTGACACACAATTTTGAGTTGCAGAGGTTTACGGGACCATGAGTTGTTACGTGTATTTTCGTCATACATTTAATATTAAGGCGTCATCTTAAAGAGTATAAAACTTCCTACTGATCTATAATAGTAAAGTTCAAAAACTATTTTCTTATTGGGAGAAATTGTGATTTAAAATTAAGGAATTTCTAAAATTTTGATCGCATTTTTTACGGCAATTATTAATAAGAATCAAGAAATTGCTTTGATAAAACAGTGGCAAATTTCATCCTCTTTAATATGACACTTTAAGATTGAATAAAGGTCTTAATGTAGGCTTAGGCATTTTCTGTCCCGAGAACACGCGCATTTGAAGACGCGGCGGGAGGTAGAGCGCCCCCTTGATACCAACGTTTACAGTTTCTTCTTTCTTCCCGAACAGTTAATGTTTGCCATAGAGTCATTTTAGAATGATACTTGAATGTCACTCAAGTTTATAATAAACAAATACGGTAAAATTATCAAAATTTCACTATACCAAAGTAAGTATATAATAATCGGATACAACACATAGAGAAATATAAATTATTTAAAATCCGCAAAATATCACAAATTTTCATGGAATTATTAACATAGGCTAAACATAACTGTAAACAATCCTACTTTGACAGTTCTCGTTGCGTATCACAGTTTTTTGTTGCTGCTTAGTTCAAGTTAGCTGTTTTCATAAATGCAACAAAAATTATAGTGCTGCACCCGGTGGGTAAATCTTGTTAATTTTTAATGCTTTTGCATCTCATAGAACCAAATTTTTTAGTTCAACAATTCTTTAATTCCCTTTTAATATGAATAATCATAAGGTTAACATGGGGAACTGTAGAGCCACTGGGGTGGATCCCGAAAGGATTTTTGAGATAAGAATATGTCTATATGCTAATCGGGAATGTTAGCTATCATCATGCCAAATTTCAGCCCAATGCGTCCATTAGTTAATGCGTGATTAAACATCAAACAAACAAACACACAAACGTTCACATTTATAATATTAGTAAGATAAACATTTTCAAATGAGGTTGTTTAAAGATTTAAAGGTTTAAAAGATTATTACCAATAAATGTGTTTAATATGTCATCTTAATATTTATTTCATCTTACTTATATTATAAATCTGAAAGTTTGTGAGTTGTGTGTGTGTGTGTTGCTCAATCACGCATAAACTACTGGACGGATTGGGCTGAAATTTGGCATGATGATAGCTTACATTCCCTATTAACATTAAAGCATATTATTATCCCAAAAATTCTTTCGGGCTCCGCCCCAGTGGCTCTGTAGTTCCCCATGTTAACCTTATGGTTTTTCATATTTAAAAGGAATTAATGAATCTAAACAGCTGTTTCAATTAAACAAGCTTCTGTTCTATGATTTTCAATATCATAAAAGTTACAAGGATTACCAACAGGGTGCAGCACTATTATTTTTTTTTTATTTATGACAACAGCTAATTTCCAACCAAAAGGTGAGTGAGCGTAGCAAACGAACTTCAACCAGGACGTGAATGAGCCATGCGAATACTTATGAAGTTAAACAGGGCAAAGCCCGCAGGTACAGCTAGTCTTTAATGACACTAGATACATGTCAAATACTTGTGTTGTAGCACACCAACATTTTTTAACAATCATTAATAAAACAGTTTTAGTTTTGTATATAAATACAAGTAGCTGTACCCGCGGGCTTTGCCCCGTTTAACTTCATATGTGAGCTCGTTCGCATGGCTCAATCACGTCCTGGTTGAAGTTCGTTCGCTACGCTCACTCACCTTTAGGTTGGAGCTCGTTCGCTGCGCTCACACGTCCTGGTTGAAGTTCATTCGCTACGCTCACTCACCTTTACGGTTGGAGCTCGTTCGCTGCGCTCACTCACCTTTTGGTTGCAAATTAGCTGTTGTCATAAATTTAAAAAAATAATAGTGCTGCACTCTGTTGGTAATCCTAGTAACTTTAATGCTATTGAACATCACAGAACAGAACCAACTTGTTTAATTGAAACAGCTGTTATGATTCATTAGTTCCATTTAAATATGAGTACTCATTAGGTTAACATGGGAAACTCCAGAGCCACTGGGGCGGAGCCCGCGAGTCCGATCAGAATAAAAACCACTCAGTTTTCCTATTTAATGCCTAAAGAATCAGTGTACCAAATTTCAGCCTCCTAGGTAAGTGGGAAGTGGGAGAATTAGTGATGAGTGAGTGAGTCAGTCAGTCAGTGAGGGCTTTGCCTTTTATATATATAGATACCAATTCTAGAGTGTGGTGCATTAAATAAATAGTGTTTGCTGATTTTTTTACTGTGTCTTTTACAAATCCTTGAAGCTGCAAAATAATTGTTTTCTCTTCTATTTTAACTGCACTCCCTTTTTTGCAAGGACTGCTTTAGTAAATAGGCCTGGGCCCAGGGGCACACAGAAGAGAAGTATTTGCCGAGGGGCACAAAATTATCTATAAAAAGTGGTACATAATAACTATATAGTACTCGTACCTGTGCTTCCTCAGCTTGACCTGAGTCTGCGATAGCCAAGAGGCGATTGTCTTTTCGATCTTGGCCTGCTCAATTGCAGGCCATTTTTTCTTTGTGATTTCTGCAATAAATGGAGGTGTTGTAAATGTTGTTTTGATATAAACCGAAATTCAATATAAATATTTCATCCATTTTTATTGTTAGTTTTGAAATCTAATTTTGGTTGAGTTTTAGTTGGCAAAATTGTCACCTAATCAATTGTTTTACTTTATTCTGTAGCATGTTTATTATTTTGGTTATTAAATTAGAAAAACATATCGCCAACAAGACCTAACCACACCCTCTTTAGAAGTCTATTCAACCAAAACTGTACAAAAACATCAATAAGGAAACTTTTTTTATTAAAAATTCACAATTTTCTTATGATTGAAAATAATGAGAGTTTAGTCATCTTCTTTTTATGCAGTCAGTAAAGAAAAGGAAATTCTAGGAATAAAGGTAGGTATTGGAGGTGAAGCCAAATTGCCAACTGGAAAACAAGATGGTACAAAAATGCTACTGATAGTAAAATTAATAATTTGTTGGATGCCTAACCAGCAGGGGCATCAGGCAAAATAAATATTGGGGGGGAGACATTTTGAATTATCCAACTATCTTACAAAGATTTATCAACTATATTAATCAAATTCCTCAAGTGTATTACTCAAATTTCCCAACTATATTTTCAGATTTACTAACTAATTAATATTAAGTTTCAAAAGTATAATAATTTATCTTTAAAGCCTCTTTATAGCTGAAATATACAAATTTAATAACAGGAGATGAAGGTGTCTCACATATGACTGTCACTACACTGCACTGGTCAATAATTACATAACGTTTGCAGGCTCAAAATTATTTTTTTTAAATAATCAATCAGTGGGTACAGATCTCCTGCGCAGCTTAAGAAAGGGATAAGGGTAAGAAATTTTCCTAAAAGCCTTTAATTACTGTGTGCTATGGATACCTTACTCAACATACTGTAGTTACTCAAAATATGAAATGCCCGATATTTTTTTAGTCTAATTATTAATTTATGAAGAGTAGACTTCTGCTTAGTTTTAAAATAACCCATATTTATTATACAGTTTAACAGTGTTTAAAACTTCCCTAAATTCCAACTCCTATTGCTTAAAATACCCCAAATTCCCAACTTTTCCCAAATTCCCAAATTAACACTTTTCAAATATTATCGGGGTGGCTCCCCCTTGGGTGCTACTGTTAACCCAAGGTTATTAAAAGAAAAAGAGGTTGCCTCAGTCGCCCGTATGACGTCACCCGCCGACCCGGACGGTGCTGCTCTTAATTCACACAGCTGCCACCTGTCAAATACTTTGTTATTGTTGTTTGTTTTTGTGCAAGTTCTATGAAAATAAATAAATATAAAACATCAACAATAACAAAGAATTTGACAGGTGGCAGCTGTGTGAATTAAGAGCAGCACCGTCCGGGTCGGCGGGTGACGTCATATGCGCGACTGAGGCAACCTCTTTTTCTTTTAATAACCTTGCTGTTAACCGGCAGATGAGAGTATTGATTGGTTTTTTTTTTAATGCATTAACTCTATAGGCTACGCGATTGTTTTAGAGTGATTGTTAAAATCAATCATGAAATGAAATCCCAGTTTTTGCATGTTGATTTGAATTAACACACTCCCAAAATAAATATCAAACTAATCTTTTATGTATATTTATTATTTAATCAATATGGTTTGTTCAAAAGCTAGAGTATTAAAAGTGAAGTTCAATTACTTACCAATAATCAGCAAGGAGAGTTTGGATTCACAAAATGGTTTCTTTTTTTCTGTCCTCCGCTTTTGACCCCGCCAGGAAAAGGTATTAATTACAGTGTCACTCAGGACATACCTTAATACCTTCGTTATGCCTCTGGAGCAACTACATTTTAACAAAATCGATGTAAGAGCAGTTTCCTGAAACAAAACAATTTAAAATTGATTTTGTTTACTAAATTAAATCGGAATAGAATCTTTCTGAGATTTCCTGGTAGGCTCTTTATAATTTACACATTACAGTGAACTCCCAAAATATCTGGGTAGTGACAAGTACAGTGGTTAAGGATCACCAAAAACTAGGACTTAAACCTAATTAATCAATTAATGATTGACAAACAAACAACATTCCAAACAAAGTTATATCTAGTCATATATGTTTATCATTATTCAAGTTATCTTAGTTTTAAATTTATTTACTCATAGAAACACATTCTATTTGAGATATTGTACGTTTTAGAGGTTTGATGTTAAGAAAATTTAATCAGATATTATACCGGATCTTTTACAAGTAACTTATAACGTAATACCCAAATTCTCGGATCAACTGGGTGTTTGGCGCCAGGAAATGTCAGTCTACAATAATACCAACATCCACACACACTGGGTGTCTATCCATTTGCAAAAAATCGCTATTCTGCTATTCAATGGGTCAACATACCCCATTACATATTATAATGGGTCTGTCAGCTCGAAGATGGGTGTATCGCTCGATGAGTGATTGATTACAAACTTCTTTGCCTGAACTTCCACCTCTCCGATCTTATCACTCACGTAGGCCCTCAATTGTTACAAATAGGTGTGATGGTTGTCTTGTTTTATTTAGTTACAAGTTTTATTATATTAGAATTAAAACATTATAAGTTAAAATTTGTTAAGTTAAAGTTTTCATTTATTTGCAATGGCATAATTACAAGAGATGCCAATACCAAGGAGTGCTATTATTCGTTGAGTTTGTTAATGAAATGGAAAACAAAATGACACATTCATATTATTTTGGAAAGCAGTATATACATGTCCATTGCATTATACATTAACAGTGTTGTTATTCAGTATCTGCCAACTCAACATTGATCATTGTGAAACCTTGATTTGAAAATTACTCTCACCTCGCTAAGTTTCTCAAAAGCCAATTAGGATTTACTATGATGAATCACTTTTAAAAGTTATAGTTAACAACTGTATTTTTCTATCTTTGTAAGTAAATAAACATGACCGAGAGAACATTTGAATTCAAGCATAACTTTCCATTATCCACACATATTTTGTGTATTATAATTGTTCACATGCACATACCACTTGCTTCCTAAATTCTTCCTCCTCAATTTCTTTGGCAAATGCATTGAAATCAGCTTCATCCTTCAATGGGAAGCGTTCCAAAATGTCCGTATTTACGATGCCTTCATCTTCCCCCTGAAGAGCCACTGTTGGTCTGTCTGTCTTATAACTATCTTTGACAGCTTCTTTTAGTTTAGTCAAGCTTCCTGTAGAAAAAATGAAAAATTTATCTTTGGGCATAAAAAGAACATTAAACAATATTTTCACTGAAATTTACAGTTGTTATCAAAATTTTGAATAATTTGGATGGTAGCCTAACAGATTGTTTTATGGATTTGGAAAATTTCCTATCCAGGTAAAAAAAAAAAAAACTTTAATACCCATTTACTTTTTTTATGTCCCCAGACATTTTAATAACATTATTGTTGAAAATGATTCTTTATCTGCCTTTTTGAATATTTGTACCCTTAATTTAGTGTGCATATCAACCTATGCTTACTTTAAGACTGTTGATAGTTCCTTTAAAAATTAGATTTTTAGCTGTCATGTTGATGTACCAAAGCTTATTGATTTATCTGTTATCGTTCAGAACATAAACCCTTGAGTGACTTTATGTACACTCTGTATATATATATTTATACAGGATGTACATAAAGTCCCGCACCGGCTTAATATTTTCTAAATGAAAAATCAATACGATTTGGTACATTTTTTTTAGAGGTTGGCAGCCTCTTTTAACCTTGCATTTGCCCGTCCACATAGACAAACTGCCCGTGGTGGATCGTGTACAGCAAAGCAAGGGGTCAGCCAGTACAGTACGAAGGTGATCTGTTCTGATAAAATGTTTATGGCAGTGACCAGGATCCGAACCCACGACTTCGCTGCCTTGGGCCCGAAGTCCGTGACGATACCGTCTGAGCCACGGACTCATCAAACATCAACATCAACACCACACCTAAAAATCGTCTTATTAATGTTTTGTCATATACTGTAATGGGGGCGTCCGAAGGGGGAGGAGTCAGAAGGAAATCTTAAATAGAAGCATATTGCAAATCTTGGATCCACCATATTGGATATTAATACAATTTGTTCAATGTAATGCTGGTGTTGTGACTCATCATTATAAACTAGATGTTTACACTAATTTCAATTCCGAAAACCGTTTGTAAATATCGTTTTTCGTTTCGAAGATGTATTGAAATTAAAACTCCCCCCCCCTAGTTTTTTTTTTTTTTTTTTTTTTTTTTTTTTTTGTCCTAAGGACGCCAGGCACGAGCCTGGGATTGTTTTTCACACTACTTCAGGCTAGACCTAGGGGTTGCGGCATTATCACTTAGATAAAATCCATTGGTGACTTGGCGGGGATCGAACCCGGGACCTCAGGGACTGAAGTCCCGCGCTCTAACCACTACGCCAGCTCGCTCCCCAATAGCACCCATCCCCCCCCCCCTAGTAGCACAAATATGTATTTTATAAAAATTTATATATTTAAAGTTGTATTTGATAGAACCTCGAATAAAATATATAAATAATATATCTTTAATAACAGTTTGATATATTCAAATCTATATATTAATAGGCAAGCATGTTTCTTTAAAACCTTTTTTCTCAGCTCGTGTGCATCGCAGGGAAAATCTACGCATACTGTTGGAAAGATATTTTCCTGTAGATGTGCAGAATACCTTTATAAATTAAAATAGACTCAAAAATAAGCACAAAAAATGAGTTTAAAATGTTGAAAAAATTAACATGGATCTTATCTGTTGCCATGCTGGTGACGAAATAACAACTAAATATAAACAGAAAATCAAAACAAATTGAAGAAACTCCAATCACATGTTTTATTTACAGTGTGGGGTGAAAATAGAGAGTCTGTACATTACATATTTTTGGTCGAGTTTCGACCACTGGACGACCTCTAGTATGTATTTAAAATATTACCAAAAAGCAAGGCAAAATATAAATTAAATATAAGTTTTGAATATATTAAATAGATTCATAATATATATCGATCAAATAAGTATAGAATCTATAATATACATGTTTTATATGTATATTTTTCCTATTAAATATTTTAAAAAATTATGTGTTGAGAATATTTTTAATATATAATATATAAAATATTTTTGAAACTATATTATATATTTAAAGTATTTATAAATATATTTTGGAAAACGTCATTTATTTTTATTAATAAAATAATAATATATTTGTAGAATATAGGCTATAGCCTTTAATCTTTTATAATTGGTAAATAAATAATTTGCATCTTTTTGATTTTTATAGTGTCTATCAATTTATACATGCATTTTTTGTACGATAATTGCTATTGTGAAAGCGTTAAAATTAAGTTAATAATAATACGTACTCTGAATGGTGTCACTCTATCATGCACGTAAAGAAAAAATTATGCATATGGTTAAGAGGCAGTATACATTTTCGGCAACTACATTTGGGTCAAACAAAAAAAAGTGTTGATGGGTTTTATTTTTTGAATTTCAATATGTGACAATGAATGTGATCATAGAAATCTCTAATTATTGGCTAGAAAAGGGTGCTAGCGACTGGCGACCGTTTAAGAAACGAATTACGGAAAAACAGATTAACAGAATCATATTATTCTGTAGTATCAAAAAATTTTCAATTATTGCAACCATTGCAACTGACGGCCGCCCTTTCACCATTTTAAAACAAATAGTAGCAACAGTCACATGTAGCTCAGAGGTAAGGTATGAGGCTCATAAGTCAAAGGACCCAGGTTCAAGACCCACCCGGGCTAAAAAAATGTTATCCAGTAATTTTTTTCAAAATTTGTTTTTTTTAACTATTTAATCAATTTACTCAACTGATAATTGTGTTTTTCTTACTAAATCTTCATTATTTTATGTTTAGGCCTCATGGGATGTTTGGAAGAGATATTAAATACATTTTTTATTTAAATATTATTCACTAAAATATATTATTGGAACCTATTTTATTAATATTTAATATATTCAAAAACATATTTTATATATAAATAATATATTTTAAATATTATATAAAATTGACATTAATACACACTTGAGATATATAAAATAGATTTTAAATATATTTATTCATATGTATTTAATATATATTTGTGCTACTAGGGCCTGTACATTTCTTAGGGACGTTTCGTACTTTGATTATTTTTCAGATTATTTTTCTGATATATCCAGTTCTTATTATCGCTTGCAATTCGTTCTAGTCTTAAAGTATTCAGTGATGTAAGAGCTTTAATTTAAGCTATCGATAATTAAAATCAGACGAGTTAGAGTTGAGCTATGAACCACAACACAATATTAATTTTAACTTTTTCCAAATCAGTTTTTATTGAAAGATTTATATCTCGGGTTGTTAATACGTCAAAAGGTTCATTCTGGTCTCAAATTACTCAGTAAATGTTTGGTTTAAAATTGTATTAATCACTAAATGAAATCTGACTAATTGAAAATGAGTCATGGACCTTTATTAACATTATTTTTATTTTGAAATTTGTCTTTGGTTAAAGCAATTAAAGACATACAGGGCTGGTCATCCGGGTTGCATTTGTTTGATGGTGTAAGTACAAAGTAAATGATATGTGTAATGAGGCATATAAGACTAAAAAAATTCCACGTCTAAAAATGTTAATACTATGATGACCAGCTGATAACACTGATGTTTCAAATCTCAAATATTTGAAGGTATTGAAGGTGTAGTCACCTACATAGATGACATTTGCATAGGTGCTCCTGATAAGCAAACACATGATTTAAGGTTAAAAGAACTATTAAAAAGAGCTAAGGATTTTAATATTAAGTTTAACTCTAGGAAATGTAAATTTGCTGAGAGTGAAGTTTTGTTTTTGGGTCATCGGTTTACTGAGTATGGATTAACTCCAGATCCTTCAAAGCTTAAAGCTGTACAGGAGATGCCAATACCTAAAGATCGTAAAGACTTGGAAAAATTTTTAGGAGTTACCAATTACTTATCAAAGTTTATTCAAATTATTGGATTGTAACATCTCCTTTGCGAGTTCTTTCACATAAAGATATTTTATTTCAATGGAATGTCGAACAACAAAATGCATTTTCGACTTTAAAGTCTTTGTTAGTATCTCCTCCTGTTTTATCATATGTCTGTAGATTGTTCCTCAACTGGTTTAGGTGCTGTATTGTTATGTGGTGATAATCCAATTGCGTATGCGTCTAGAGCGCTCACTAAGACTCAGTCATAGAAATTATTGTCAGATAGAACGAGAAATGCTAGCCATAGTTTTTGGTTGCACTAGATTTCACCAATTTATTTTCTCTAGGAAAGTAACTGTTGAAACTGATCACAAACCCTTAGAATGTTTGTTTAGGAAGCCCATTACTGCTGCTCCTTTAAGATTACAGCGAATGATGCTAAAAGTTCAATACTATGACTTGATTGTTGTATACAAGCCAGGTAATTGATGTGTAGCTGATACACTGTCACGTGCAGCACTTCCAGTAGAAGGTAAAGAAGATATTGATGTTTTAGATGAGGACATCATTTGTGAGGTAAATATGTTAAAATCTTATCTTCCCGTGTCTGAAAGTAAACTAAACCTGCTAAGAGAAAAAATGACAAAGTGTATTTTAAGAAAACTGTTGATTCACCTTGGACATCAGGAAAAGTAGAAAAAAGTAGAAAAAAATAGAATCCCTAGATCCTATGTTTTGTCTGATGAGAAAGATAAAATGTTTGTAAGAAATAGGAAGATGATTAGGCCAAATTTGTCTAATGATGCAGGTAATGAAACCATAATGCCTGAAACAAGTCCTAAGTCAGATTCACAAATCAGTTTGTCAGGTACTAATGGTAATAGCCTTATTTCTCCGCAAAGTAGTCCCGTGTTGTTTCAAAGACCAGTAGACCTAACTCCTAGAATTTCATCAGAAGAACAAATTGTTAAAAGTTTTGATGGTTGTGTAAGCCGAAAGGGTAGATTGATAAGAAATCCAAAGCGGTTTTCTTATGATTAGGTTTTGGTGTATATTTTGTTAGACTTGAAAGGAAAATGTTAAAGTTGTATTTTAGAAAGTTAAAATTTTCAATTTTGTAAAAGAGAGGGGATGTTGATATATGTATATAGTGAAGTCCATGTTTAGAGGTATTACTCTTTGGTCTTTGTGTATTCTCTTTTGAGTGTATTTGATTTCTGATTCAGAGATGTCGGCTCATTAACTGCAGCCTAAATGTATTTCTGTCAATGTTAATTAAACATTATAATAAATAGTATTGAAACTTAAATTGTGTTTTTTTATTTAAAATGTGAATTTAAAATGTGAAACAAGTGAGAAATATTTTTATGGTGAAACTGTGAGTTAAATAACCAACCCTTTGAGTCTATGTTTTATTCCACAGTGCAAACAGTTAGCCTAGGCTATTTAAGTGGCCTAAAACCAAAAAGATAACTCAAGTAGTAAAGAATCATCAAACTTGGATAAAGACGGCACAGCTAACTCACCTGGATTTTGATTAAAAAGCATAATAAATAATTATAAAAGACACACTAAATTAGGTACACTTACTTGACATGGCGCACAGACTATGGGCAAGGGCCGTTAAAGATACTGGCCCTTGCCGAAAAACACAAGTGTGCTTTCCCCTGACATTGCAGCATTCATTTCCAGCTGTTGTAGTTTTTTTTAATATTTTAGGGGACCTCCCTGCGTCCTCCTCCATACATCTTTTGGAGTTGTCTGAAACATAAAATACAAAATTTAAAACTTGTATGCTTAACACATTCGCTACTGAGTGTCGCATATATGCAACGCCGCAGTCATTGCCACATACAGAGTTATACATTTGAATCTTACACATAGACCGGCTGTCACTTGGTTAACAGTACACACAGACCACGGGTGAAAACCTGTAAAACAGTGATCATTTACATTGTAATGTGCTACAATTGTGTTTGTAAATAATTTATTCTTGTTTTTTTTGTATTTTTTATAACCTTTTGTAATGTCGCACATTTGTGACGCCCGGTAGCAAAGACAATAGTGAAAATTATCATGGTTTTCTTGAAATAGACCAAACGTCGCATATCCCTTTACTTCCCGGACTTATGAAATTTAATAACAAAAAAGTTTATTGTGAATTTTATTTTTATTTTTTGTATTTTAAGGCTAAAAATGTGTTTTTTTGCAAATTTCCCTCATAGAATTAAAAGTTAGAAATATGTATCCATATGGATACCATGGAAACCTTAAGTACCATTGTTCGCTAATTTTCATACGTTAATAATTTTAATTTTTCTTTGACACTCCCATAGTATCCATATGGATACAAGTTTCTTAAAAGTTGTGTCAAATTGAAAAATAAGTTACTTGTTCATCAATTAAAACAAATTCATTTAGAATGAGTACAAATAGACATATTATGTAAAAAACTTTACTACAATATCAATAGATGGCATCATAAGCCACTCGTCAATTTCTTCATTGTCATTCATCTGTAAAACACATCATGATTATATTTTATGATTTCTAATATCGGACTGAAACAAGCATTACAACACTTATAGGCCTATATTTATCACTGTGCAGACTAAAGATGAAAACAGACTAATATCGAAGAAAATACAAAAGAAAAACAGTATCCATATGGATACTATGGGAATACAGACGACACACCATAGCTCTTATACGTCGACTCTTATGCATTTCGTAATACGCAAACTCCTCCTAGACGGCTGAATCAATCGTTTTCAAATTTTGCATGGTGATAAAGACCATACCGGTGAGCGCCAACATCTATATGGCGATAAAAAAGTCTCACAGGAATCCGCCCCACTGGGTCTATTTTTTTCGTATTTTTAAAGTCTCGATATTCACAACCATGATGTGTCCCTAGGGTACATTTTCCAACTTTCACGCTGTTTTTAGACTAATTATTCATGCCGAAATATATAAAGCCATATTTTTATGTCATCAATGGTTATTCAACTTACAAAAAAGGAGCATATTATAATTTTATTGTCATTGCAGACTGACTACCATGAAAAAATAAGTCTGTCCCTCGATTTGGCGTCACGACCATTTGGGAAAAATTTTCAACTTTGGAGCACGACAGTGGCAAGCCTGGCGTCGATGGAGTCAGTTGGTTTTAGAGACTAGTTTGGGGTGTACGTCAGGATTGTAGTGCCGGTCGTTTTGAGTTGAAAGGAGGAATTACAAGATTAATAAAGGAAAGATAGTGTTTTTTTGTAATTTTGGTGTGTCCATGACCGTACGTATTCATTCGATGAAGTATACATGGTGTTAATTTTTGTTTATAAGATATTTCAATTGCTAGATTAACCTAGAAGTCCACTTTGTATCCTCGAACATGAGGTGCAGGGCTACTGCCAGAACAGAGCCAAATAACACGTAATTTCACGACCAAAGTTTCACGACCATCGCGGTTTTTTTCACGACCAATCCAGCCTTATGGATTATAGTGTGTTTGGTCGTGACAATAACTTTAATATAATTGTAAATTGAACAGTTTAGTTCAATTGAAACACATAGTTTTATTATAACTAACAGTATAATTGAAGGATTGTTTGGAAAGATTTAGATTATTCCAGACAATTCACGACCGTACTGCTTGTCCCTGACCATCACGTTTATGATTTCTATCATACAAATTTCAAAAATTAAAATATCGTCATATTTTAATGTTTTATACACAAAAGAAGCACACCTCTATACAAACATAACGATTTTTAGAGTCTCAGGTAAGTTTTTTCGGAGTTATACAAACTTAAAAAGATTTTATTGGCTTTTTTCTATTTTTTGAGTTTTTTAATTTTTTTCTTGAAAGACCAAATATACCAAAAGCTCAGTGACATTTTTATTGTATAATGGTCATAAAAGTAAATTAGTTTATAGCAAAACATAGTTATGAAAATAATATTAACTATTTTTAATATTCATTTAAACGTCCGTTATGGTCGTGACAGGATTTTGTGTTTTTCTACTAAAGATGCTCTTTAAAAAGAAAACTACCAAAGATATTGCATTACCATGGACATTTTATGAAACTTCAAATGTTAATGAAATAAAAATAATAATAAAAGTTTTGAAAAAAGGGGAAAAAATTTTGCAAAGTGCTTTTCCTGAAAACGTACGTTTTTAAATTTTCACTCTTACACGTTTGTACCAAATTTCATCAAAATCAGATGATTTTTGCTCGAGTTATCGCGCTAACGGACACATATACAGGGTTTGGCAAATGTATGGATACCCCTAGTTAACTTTTTAATGGGTGACACCAGGAAAACTAAACTCCACACCTGCGTGAAGCTGGCCCCACCCAAAACAGCACTAATTTTAAAACCTATTACAAAAAATAGTGTTCAATTAGTGCTACCTAACGGTACAAATTAAAAAATTAGTGCTCATCAGGTGAATGAGTAAATGGTGATAATTTGTGGGTGGGGCCAGCTTCACGTTTTGCCCCACCCACAAAAGAATTAAAAAATATCATATATACACTTACCAGAATAAATAGTGCTCAATTAGTGCTGTCGAATCGTATAAATATAAAAATTAGTGCTCATCATTAACAGACTTAAAAGGGGGTCTCTTTTTAGCGAATTTCCCTATAGGGAAGTAAGCTATTACTGTAGGTGGCATGGTAAGACCTAGACCCGGGACCGATTTACTTGTTCATTTTGATGTCCCCAGAGGCCAAAAACACCATTCGTTAAAATTTTTATATATGTATACACAGGGTGAGTTTTAAATGAGTTCCCCAATACTTTTTTCTACATTTCATAAGATATCAACTCCGGACCACGTCAGATCAATAAAAGAGTAGTAAGTACTTCATTTTGACTGGGTATAAATTTTTGGCCGCCATCTTGGATCCCCCATATTGGATACAAAGTTTTTTTTTCAAATGTAAAGGTAGGGTTGTGACCCATCGTTTTAAACTACCGTACATTTTTATGCTGAATACCATGCTGCAATCCGTTTAAAAAAATCTTGATCCATTCTAAAGTTATGAAAACTTTTTATAACATTAGTACCTGGGGACCGAGCTTTGCTCGAGGAAAATCAATAGTTTACTCTGAAAGCAGTTTAGTATTGCAGATACATTAATCCACTCCCAAACTCCACACTGCTCACCTTTACTACTTCCTTCACCACGTTGTGGACCTGTTTGCCCTCCTTCCCTATACCATTTTAGAATTGCAGATACATAAATGCCACAGACAGTTCCCACACTCTGCACTGCTAGCCTTACTACTTCCTTGACCATTTCCTACGTCATGGACCTGTTTTCCTCCCTTCTCATAGCATTTTAGGATTGTAGATACCTTAATCTAATCCCCATTAACAGTTCCCACACTCCAGACTGCTCACCTTTACTACTTCCTTCACCACTTCCTACGTCGCGGACCTGTTTCCCTTCCTTCCAACGGCATTTTAGGATTGCAGATACCCTAATGTAATCATCATTAATAGTTCCCACACTCCGGACAGCACGCCTTGACTACTTCCCTCACCACGTCCTATGTCACCGATCTGTTTCCCTCCCTTCCCACGGCATTTTAGGTTTGCAGATACCTTAATCTAATCTGCATTAACAGTTCCCACACTCCAGATTGCTCACCTTTACTACTTCCTTCACCACTTCCGACGTCGCGGACCTGTTTCCCTTCCTTCCAACGGCATTTTAGGATTGCAGATATCCTAATCTAATCGTCATTAACAGTTCTCACACTCCGGACTGCTTGCCTTTACTACTTCCTTCACGACTTCCTTCGTCGCGCACCTATTTCCCTCCCTTTCCATAGCATATTAGCATAGATAAAAGGAGTATAGACACAGATACCCCACGCAATGCTAATATGTGTTAACAATTTTTGGCCGAAAAACCTACTAGATCCTAGGCGGCGCTAGTCTTGAAACCGACTAAGCGCGGTTGCCATGTCGTGCAACTCAGTCGGTCGACCGGCCAACTCAGCCGGCTGGGAGAGATTCCCTCGCCTCGCACCCGCAACGCACTTCACTCACGCTCTTCTGCTGCTCTGTCCTGTGATGAGCTTCAATGAAATACTGTACGTTTTCTTCTGAAAATTTTAAAGACTTTGTGTAACATTAATTGGTTGAATATTGTTGTACGTTTACCAAATTTACCATAAACTAAAAAAATGTTATATACTCAATTTAAAATGTACTATATATATTTGTTTTCAATTTAAAAAAATGAATTTAAGACTGAGAACATATATATTTAAATTATTGTTTTTTAGTTTTTATATGCAGGAGTCTAAGCAATATGTAACCTATGCATTAAAACGTGGAGGATTTTTTTAAATATTTTAAACATTCCAAACAGAGAATAAGTGCTATTCAGGGTGTCTTGTACACATATGAACAAACTTTGTCACGTTATTCAGCTGTTAAAAGAAACAAAAAATGTAATATTGTCCTATGTGATTTTTACAAAAACATTCATAACTCACCGTTTGAACTACAGCATTGAAATTCTGTATGGCTATCTTATTGACCTCAATCTTAATACATGCGCAAAATATGAATAAAAACTCTTATTTAACTATATTTAAAACCAAGGATCATGTTATCTATAATTGAAACGATATAGTATATGTATATAACAACAACCAAAGTCAACAGAGATACGTTTTATACAAAGATAAAATTGTGTACAAAGATATCCATCTTGAAAATAAAAAAATGTAATT